TGCTGAGGAAGACTGGCCCTGGGCTAACATCCATGCCCATCTTCCTCCACTTTATATGGGACGCCGCCACAGCATGGCCTGACAAGCAGTGCATCAGTGCGCGCCCGGGATCTGAACCGGCGGACCCCGGGCTGCCGCAGCGGAGCACGCGTGCTTAACCGCTTGCACCACTAGGCTGGCCCTTCCCTATGTGTACTTTTTTTAAAACTTGGTACTTATTGTTGATTCTTTTTACATCAACTGGTATAATTTTAAAAATCATTAATTTTTATACATTATTGTTATATGACTTATACAGTTATCTGAATAATGTTTCAAAAGCATTCAAAACAAAGGATAAAAAAGTTCTCTAACATGATATCAAAAAAGGAAACTATGAAATTTGTTAGCACTCTAAGAATTCTTACTTGTGTCTGTGTGAAGCATGAGCTTGAGTAAACTGATTAACAGTTAACTGATTAACTGATTAACAGTTAACTGATTTAACACTGATTAGAGTGTAAAGGAATTAAAGATGCTAAAACTAAAAATGCTTAGAAGCTGCCCAAATTTCTGATCTTGTTTTTTCTTCCTGGGTTAAAGAGGAGTTTATGTATTTTCTTTACATTAGAATGTTTTAAGTCTCCTAGAGACCAATTGAAAATTCTCTACAGGGTGAGATTGGCTCGTTATTGTATTGTATGTCAAGGGAGAGATCTCTGAAATGCACTTGAATTTCTGCAGGGTTGCTAAAGTAGGGTAAGACCTTTGGGTAGTTTACAATCATATTGTAGATTCTATATGGTATTGGTTTATAAAACAAGCAGAGAATAATACAAAACAGTATGTAAGTGTAGTTTGTAACTGCTATAGCAGATCAACTAGAGTTTATTATGTGGAGGGAAGCCTTACAAGGGAGTTTAGACTCGATCTGGGTCTTGAAGGGTGGATAGAATTTGAATCACTAGAAGAGAAGGGAGGATATTCAGGACTGGGGAATCACCTGTAGCAAGATGCAACCTTTATTGAGCATGTGCTATATGCCAGGCATATTGGTCAGTTCACAGGCACAAAACTGAATAAGATAATGGCTCTTGTCCTCTGGAAGCTCTCAGCCAGATAAGTAAGTCAGCGATTACGTTCAGGATCGTAAGTACTTTGGTAGATACGTGCACACGCACGAGGCACTATGAGGTACAGAGGTGGGGTTTGGAATAAGCCTGGGAGGTGAGGGAAGAGTGATTTTGGTATGTTTATAGGCTACTGAAGAGACATTGGAGACATACTGTTGCTTGAGATGCCTCCAGTGAATCTCTTCTATGATAGAGGAGTGAGATCATCTCTTCAAAATGAAGGACTGGACTCTGAAAAGAGGAGTAAAGGTTCAGAGTAACTGCTGTGCTAGATAGTTGGGGATAAGAGATTGGTAAGCAGTGACGGGGGCCCAGCTGGAGAGGGTCAGCATCAGTATTTGGCACTGGGGTGGCATGGGTCTGTCTTCGTCAGGTAGGGTTTTTGCCTTAGAAAACGGGTTGAAGAAACAGAGCTGTGGTGATGCGGTATTGGTAAGCTGAAGGGTGAAGGTGGATAAAAAGGGCAGGATTCAGGGGATTGGCATTTTGATCCTGGCATTTGGACAGAGCAAGGGAAGGACCTCAATGTCTGAATGAAGGAGAAGGGGCTGTGATATTGGGAGGTCCTAGTGAAAGGTTAGACGAAGTCTGATGAGCAAAAGGGGAGCAGGGAGAGCGGAAGCACCAGTATTCATTCATTTACTCGTTTATTCAGTCAAACCATTATTAACGACTTGTTTCGCACAGTAGTAAGCTTAAGGGAGGTCTTAGTAATATCTTATGATGAGTGGTGACGTCCAGCATCTGATTGCTGGTACTCAGCTGGTTTTAGAGTAGAAATGGAGGTCTGTGAAGTTGAGCACAGGGAACTGTGCAGCTCAAGTATCTTCAGTCACCAGTGTGTTTTGAAGCCCCTGAGAATGGCAGCAGTGCTCTGTTATGCCTGTGGGAGGAACATACCCTAGAAGGTTGTTATATTTATGAGCAGTCCCATCCATGAAAGTTTTGTCCTTGTGCTTAAATTTCTTCAACAACCACCCTTCTCCAGTCCATATGATACCCCACTGTCAGATGTTTATTTTTATTTCCCTACTTGGATGTTTCTCATTTTCCTATAAAATAAGTCTTCAGCATGCCATTTCTCTGTTTTTTCCACATCTTGGCTCTCCCATCTTGTCTTCTGCAATTCCCAATAACATTCCTTCTCCATCCTGGCCAGTGTTTTCACTACCTTGCTCGTTCTGAGTTCTGAACGTTTCTATGTTGTTGCCTCCTACTTGAATCATCCTTCTCTCTCCTCGCCACTTCACCAAACCAGAGATGTCCTTTAAAACCCTCTTCAAGTTCCACTTCTTTCACTAGGCCTTCCTGATCATTCCAACCCATCATGACCTTCTCTTTCTTTCTCTGAAGCCTTATCAAACGTGTATTGTTTTTGCCACTTGATCATATATGGCTCCACATTATTACTTGGGTTTGTGTCTGTGTTCCCCAGTGGTTTGAAATATGTTGGAGAAGAGAGAACAGTATTATATTTCCCTTAACATCTATCCCAATACTGGATACATATGTACCTAGTACATATGGATTAAATAAATGAAATTTGTTTGTATGTTATGGGTGGCATAGGGGAAATGCAAAAAGGGCATAATTTTCTGAATGGAATGTTTATGTATTTTGGAGGAAGTTTTAGGGATGGTTTGTATCTTGGGGGAGGGATTAGAAAATATTTGGCAGCTCTTATGAGAGGGGAGAGACCATGAAAATACTATGAAAATTCTATGACTTAAGATCTAATTGGCAAACAGGGAAGATGAAGAGGCAAGGAAGGCTCATGAGGAGCAAGTCTTTGAGGTCAAATGATGGAAAGGGACTCTGGCAGAGGGGCAGCATCGTGGGAAGTGACTCATGTACTATGTTGCCTGCCTCTGCACAAGCCAGGTCCCTGCCCAGCTGGTGTGGCATCGAGCCCTTTGGCCTAGTAGGGACTATGTACTGACAGAGCTGCGAGTATCCAAGATCCGTGGTCATCGTTACTACGTTTGGACAACCAGTCCCTCCTCCCGTCTCTTGCCGCTGAAACCAGAGTGTGTGCGAGAGCTGGAACTGGAGCTGGATGGACCCCTCTTGGAGGCTGACCCCTCCAAGAGTGACCCCAAGCCACTCCCCAGACCTAGCAACTCCGAGGACAAGAAGGGTCAAAAAGGTCTTGTCCGGGACTCCAGACTCTTATCATATATGGTGAGCATACTGGAGAGATCCTAGAACTCGAGGGGCAGGAAATGTGGGTCTCCAAAGAGGAAGGAAATAGGGATGAACTGGCCCTTTGGCTTCTTTGCAGGGAACGGTCACTGGCGTGCTGAATCAGTCTGCTGGCCTCTATGAGCTGGACGGGCAGCTGGGGCTTTGCTTCGCCTACCAGCAATTCCATGGTCTCAGGCGGGTGGTGCGCCCAGGAGTCTGTCTGGAAGTATGTGAGGGTCAGGGCTGGTGACAAAAAGAGGCCCTCTCAGCAGCTTCTCTTACCTTTATGGGCTAGTCTTTTTCTGCAGCAGGGTGGAAATCTCTTTAGCAAAAATATAAAAATAATAAGTGTGTATGTTAGAGTGGGGGGTGCTTTTGTTAAGAATGATTTGGATGAGAGCTCAGATCAGAAAGAATAGAGCCTGGCGCACCGGGAGTGGGGGTTGGAGCCAGCGCATCTCCTTCACAGAAGGGCCTTCTAACTGGAGGAGGAGATGTTGGAGCTGAAGCGCAGGTGTAGGGCCAGGGTGATCTCAGGCAGCCTGGTGGGTCGCTGAAGTGTCACCAGCCAGGAGCCCCCGGCTCACAGAAAGACTGAGTGGAGCTCCTGGGAAATGAAGGCTCACTGCAGGGGGAGTGGGTTGTGATGGAAGGTGAGGCATGGAGGCTGGAAGGAAATAACCTGTAAAGGAGAAATGTATTTCTCCTGGAGCCCAGGCAGTGGAGAACTGCAGTTAAATCTGCCTGGGGTCATTGAGTTGGGGGCTTCACCTCTGCTTTTTCACTTTTTCTGCTTTCCCCCAGCTCCAGGATGTTCACCTCCTCCAGTCAGTGGGCGGAGGGACAAGAAGGCCAGTGCTAGCCCCCTGCCTCCGTGGTGCTGTTCTGCTTCGGGGCTTCTCTCGTCAGAAGCCTGAGACTCCGTCTCCCCACCAAGCCCAGGGGGCCTCCCTGTATGAGCAGCTGGTATGGGAACGTCAGTTAGGACTTCCCCTCTACCTGTGGGCTACCAAGGCCCTGGAGGAGCTGGCCTGCAAGTGAGGATGAGGGTCTGGGCTGGGGAGGCAGTGGGAGTAGGACATTTCCTCTGTAAGGGAAGCAGGATTCTGGAAGAGTCAGGGTCTTTGGGGGAAGTGACTCAGCTTCTTTCTGGCCCAGGCTGTGTCCCCATGTGCTGAGACACCACCAGTTCCTGCAGCATTCCTCTCGTGAGAACCCCAGCCTTGGGCTACAACTCCTGGGTCCTACCTTGGATGTTCTAGCTTCATCTTGCTGCCCCAGTCGGAGTTCACACAACGAGATCCTTGAAGAGCCACATCACTGTCCACTCCAGAAGGTATGAGGATGTGGGGGGAAGATGGGTGGCAGAGCTAATGCATTGCGGGACACCTGGGGCACATGGGGGACACAGTCTGATTTCTCTTCTCTCTGACAGTATGCTCGGCTGCAGACTCCCTGCTCTTTCCCTACTCTGGCCGCCCTGAAAGAGGAAGGGCAGTGCAAGGCCTGGGCCTCCTTTGACCCTAAGACCCTTCTGCCCCTCCCAGAGGCTTCTCACTTGCCCAGTTACCAACTCAATCAGCGCCTGGCCTGGTCCTGGCTCTGTCTACTGCCCTCTGCCTTCCACCCAGCACCGGTAAGTGGGACTCCAGTAGGGCTCAGGGGACTTGCTCTTTTTTGCCATCCTCACTACCACTACCTTAGTCATTTCTTGTCATTTTGACTGCACTAGCCTTCTAACTAGACTGCTCCATCTCTTCTTGGCCCCCTCCAATTCCTTCTCCCTGCAGCAATTAAAAAGAGGTGGGGTAAAGTGTAACTTGGATTACAGAACTCTCTTGCTTTAAAATCCTTTTCTTATTTCTCCCAGTGCATATAAAATAAAACCCTAACTCTTTATTATGTCCTGTGAGGTCTTGCGTGGTCTCCTACCTCTAACCTCGGTTTGTACACTTTCTCTCCCACTCCTAAATGTATGAACATGTGTGTTTTTTCACATCTTCCCCACTTGAATATAAGTTCTTTGAGGTCAGAGACCATGTGTTTTTTTTCACTTTGTAGCTAACACAGTGCCTGGCACATAGTAGACGCTCAGCATTTATTTAGTAAATACTGATGGCTCGGCCTTCATCTCCTTGCAGGTTTTACTTGGGGTTCTGGTGGCTTCATCTCATAAAGGTTGTCTGCAACTTCGAGACCAAAGTGGTTCCCTCCCCTGCCTCCTCCTGGACAAGCACTCAAAACCCCTCACTGACCCCCAGCTCATAGGTTTGGAGTTCAGCGGTGGAGGGAAGATAGTGGTAGGGTAGAGGTTCTCAGAACAGAGGGCTTGGGAGGAATTTGGGATTTACTAGAAATTGTTGGGATTTACTAGAGATGCTGAAGTGGCATGTGTAGATCAATAAGTTTTGGGAGAAATTTAGGAGACCAGTATTGGCAGTTAGAGAAAAGGAGCAAGGGATCCCCTAGCCAGAACTCCAATTCCCAACGTTCATGTCTCCCTCCATAGCTCCTGACAGGATGACCACTCTCATTTCCTACATTCTTAGTTTAGAAGAATAATGGTCTTATTCGGGGTTATCGAGATTTGTAGACAAGGAAACCCTGGAGAGGAAAGTTTCTTAGATCTAACAACAGGCGTTTTAGAGATTTATGAGAAAGTAGAATTGAGGCCTTTCAGCCTAGGAGGCCAGGGGTGGGACATGCAGATGGAATGGTTTCTCCCTTGGAGGTATCATCCCTCTAAGGTGGGGGTCAAGTCTGGGCCTTCACATTGTGTTAGGGGAGCAGCTCAGGCCTGGGTTAGGCAGTGAGACCTGCAGGGTGGTCTGCTTCCCTGCACATCGCACAGTTCTCTCCTCTTGCTAAAATAGAAAACTTTCTTCCTCTAGGCTGCCTGGTGCGGGTAGAGAGGTTCCAGTTGATTGTAGAGAGGAAGGTCAGAAGCAGCTTCCCTTCATGGAAGGAACTGAGCATGACAAGCTTCATCCAGGAGCAGCAGGCCAGGTTGGCTCCTTGGGGTAGTGGCTGTACTTGGAGTCTCTGAGGAGAAAGAGAGGGCCTGGTGCGGGTGGTGGAATGCTGGGGCCCACAACACCCAATGCCTGCACCCCTAAGAAACCTATTTCTTGTCTTCTAACAGAGTCTACGTTCAGTTCTTTCTGGCCGATGCCCTGATCCTGCCTGTACCCAGACCCTTCCTTCACTTAGCCACCTCCTCAACACCTCCTCAGACAGAGCCCACCCTCCCAGAGGGTCCCCACCTAGGACAGAGCCGGCTATTCTTGCTGTCCCACAAGGAGGCACTGATGAAGAGGAACTTTTGTGTCCCCGCAGGAGCCAGTCTGGAAGTGCCCAGGCCCACCCTCAGTTTCCATATATCAGGGAGCTGGGTTGGGGGCACCCAGAGGAACGAGGGGACTGGATGGGGCCCACCTGAGCTCAAGGAAAAGGAGGACAAGGATCAGAAGGTAAACTGGGACTGCAGGGACCTAGGATCTGACCTCCAGTGCCCCTAGCTCCTGTCTGGAACCCCAGTACCCTGCTGTCCTTCCTCATAGGTTTTCCTCATCTTCCTTGGCTCCTCAGTTCGCTGGTTTGAGTTCTTGCACCCAGGGCAAGTGTACCGACTCGTGGCTCCTGGCCCTCCCGTGAGTGCCCCACTTCATACCCTTCCCCAGAAGACATTTTTGGCTTGGAGTTTGGAGAGGAAGTTCCAGTGCCTGGTCATTCTCTAGGTCTCCTAGAAAAAGGGTGGACCTAGATCAAATAGAAGGCCTGTCTGTGTCTGGATCACTTCCTTCATCAGGCTCCAGAGAGAACAAAATTGGGTCATAGTATTTTACGAACCTCCCTCTGGACCACGACACACTCACAGTCATCTTCCCATTTCCTGGCAGATGTTGTTTGAGGAGGGAGGTTCATCCTGCATATCACAGCGTCCCCTGGAGTTGGCTGGCTGTGCGTCCTGCGTCACTGTCCAGGATGAGTGGACCGTGGAACTTGCAAGCTCCCAGGACGTCCCAGATGTGCCGGATATCAACCAGGCACTGCCTGAATCCTCACTGACTGACCTGCTCAGTGCCAAGTAAATGTCCGCCAACTTCTCCAGCTAATTTGGCTGCTCTCTATTCCTCGGCCGTGGTTGGGGTGGGTGAAGAATTCGTTCTCTCTTACAGCGTGTGTTTCTTGAACATGCTTTAGCACCTAGAGGAACAGTGTCAATGTAAGGGAAGGAGTGTTTCATCCCCGATTTTCCCCCAGCGTGTTACTTTGTTGAAATGATCGTGAGCAGCCTTTCTCACAATTCAGGAAAAGCCTTAGCAATAAAAGGAAATATAAGAAACATAAAAAAAATATAAGGACAAAAGCTGAAAATCTATAGAGAAGAGCCTTCCTTTAGTGCAAGAAGTGGCTGGCTTATGGCTTCAGGAACAGCTGTCCTTTCCTCATGTAAGCTTTTTGGGGTGGCTGCAAGTGCACATGAAGAAGCTGTAGAGGTATTTCCCGCTGCGTAAAACCAACACTAAACAAAAACCCTGCTGGATTATATGTGTAATTTTTATGGAACTGGTCTCTATCAGAAGTGAATGTTTTCAAGGATCTATGATTTGAAGTAGGGGCCATGGGCCCCAGCTTATAAAGCTGCAAATGATGGACTGACTGAGATTCTAGGTGTAAATGTAAGTGGAGATTTAACTCTGCTGGTGTACTTCTTGGCAAAGCCTCTGGGTCCAAAGATGTATAGGTTTTGAGTGATCTGCCACAACCCTGTTTTTCCCATAAGCCCTGTTACTTTTAGTCTGTGATTTGACACAGCATAAAGCTTTCCAGGACCTTTTAGATGATGTTCTAGCAGGTACTTGAGCTCCTTTTTCTGTCTTTGGATCTGACTCGCTCCATTCTCTACTTTCTTTTGCCTCCGTTCTCACTGTATTTTCTGACCCTCCAGCTTCACCGATTCCTTGGTATCTTTCTCAGCTGAGATTTTGTCACGGACACTGTGTGAGCTACTTCCAGCCCTTCTCTGGACGAAGCCTGGTAACGACACCTCCTTTGGGGGAAGGTATGAAATGGAGTGGTAGGACCTTGTGGTCCTGAAGAGACCACTGACCCCTCCCCTTTCCTTCTCTAGGGAGCACTGGGGCCGTGAGAGGGTGTGTGAAGCTAACCGTAGCTCTGGAGACTGCTGACTGTGAATTCCCCCCTCACTTGGACATATATATCGAAGACCCACACTTGCCTCCCCCACTAGGACTCCTTCCAGGAGCCCGAGTCTACTTTAGCCAGCTAGAGAAACGGGTTTCCAGGTGAAGATCTATGTGGCTGGCCTTGCCTCCTCTCCCTACTGACGTGGGTCTCTTGAATGCTCACCCCCACCTAACTACACCACAACGACACCTTCTCTTTGATACTACGTTTGGTATGTTACCCTGGCATTTATACCCTCTACCCTCACGAGATGTTCCAGACCAGTCCTTCCCTTATTCTTCCCTCTGCTTTGATAGAGCCAGTGTCAGGGCGCATCCCTCAAGGGGAGTGGCCAAGTCTGTGATACAGTCCCAACCCCTACCTCAAATTGACTTCTTTCTGCTCATCATCACTCTTCCGCCTCCACTTACAGATCCTACAATGTTTATTGTTGTTTCCGGTCATCTACTTATGTGCAGGTCCTGAGTTTTCCCCCGGATACCACAATCAGGTCGGTGCCCCAGGCCCTGATCCCCAAACTTCACGGCCTTGCATCTGCACCCCACACATGTTCTGCCTGTGGAATTTTTGCCATAACTACAGTCTTCTCCAATCCTAGCAAAATGTGTTGAGTCAGGAGGAATTCTTCTACTCCAAGTAAAAAAGGTCCAATACGTATCATTTTACTTGAAAGATTTAGTGTTCTAGGGTCTTAAAGGCTTTTCAGTCTAAAATACAAATACCTTTCTTGGCTAACATCTTGGTTGTTCAAACCTGAGAAATAATGGATGATGATCAGAGATGAGAATCAAAATGGGGGCCGTGGGGCTTCCAGGAGAGCACAGAAGCTAGTACTGTCCCCATCCCTATGCCTGCTGAGGAGTCCTTCCAGACACCCTGCTCTTAGAACCCCTTTGGCTATTTGTTGACCACCCCCCCCCCCACTTTCTCTTTAGTGCTCCCCTGCCCCACATCTACCTGGCTGAACTTCTGCAGGGTGGCCGGGCCCCATTCCGGGCCACTGCTTCTTGCCATATCGTTTCTGTCTTCAGCCTTCAGCTCCTCTGGGTGTGTGCCCGTTGTACCAGCCTCTGCCCCCAGGTATGGGAGGGGACAGGCTGAGCTGGGTGCAGGGTGCCAGAGGGATGTGATGGGACTGAGGATTTTCCCAACCACTGTCTTCATCCCAGGGAAGGTGTACTCGTCAGGGCCCCACTTGCTCCGCCCAGACATCTATAAGCCAGGCCAGTATCAGGTGAGAGCACAAGGCGGGTGCCCATTGCACCATTTACTTCCCTATTACACGACTTTGTCTGCTGTCCCTGTGTTAGCATAATTCCTGGTCTGTGGAAAGTGCTTAATAAATATTTTTGAATGAATAAGTGAAAGTGAGCTAAAGACTGGAAACAGTGGGGAGAGAGGCATGTTGGGTCCAGGTGACTGGCCACACTGGGTTTGCTATGAGAGTTTCTGTTTCCTCACCCCCAACCCAGGTTCCTGGTGGAGGACGGGACTGCTGAAGCTGTGGTGGCCTGTAGGAATCATCAGGTGGCAGCAGCACTAGGGCTGTGTCCTAGTGAGTGGACCTCTCTCCTAGAGTTTGTCCGAGGGCCTGGGAGAGTGGCTTTGCAATTTACAGGGCCTGGAGCCCAACTTGAGGTGAGATACGGCTAGGAAGTGGGGGCTCAGATACCCAGATTCCTGGGGGGTTGGTAGAGGGTTTAGGAGTTTGAGTTCTGATTAATCCTGAGTTTCCCTTTCTAGTCCTCAGCCAAGACTGATGAGCCCTTGACCCTCTTCCTCCGGACACTTTGTACCAGCCCCTCTGTCCTCCGCCCTATTGTGCTTTCTTTTGAGCTTGAGAGGAAACCCTCCAAGATCGTCCCGTTAGGTAAGAGTAGAGGGCGGGAGTGTAGATAGATGGGACCCAGGAGGACAAGGGATGAGAGATTGGTAGGGGATTTCTGGAGTTGGGGAGGAGAATGGTGGATGGGGACTGAAAACCACATGCATAGGACATGTGCTTTCCTCTCTTCCCATCTCAGAACCTCCTCGGCTACAGCGATTCCAGTGTGGGGAGCTGCCTTTACTGACCCGTGTGAGTCCCAGGATCCGACTGTCATGCCTCTCTATCCAGGAGCCTGAGGACCCCAGCTCCCTGGAGGCCTTTGTTTCCTCCTGCTAACCGGAAGTACAACAAGGACCTGAAAGGTCTTCCTGCCCTGCTGGAAACCTTGAGGCCTGGGCTCCAGCTCTTCCCCCTTTTCGTGGCTCTCACCTTTTCTGTGATTGAACCAGGACCCCAGATCCCTGTATTCACAAACTACTACACTATTGTAATTTCCCCTTATTCTGGTGCCAACCTGCCTTGGGGAAATTGTGGAAACTGGTAATCATGGTGCTGTTGATATTTCCTGTCTGGTTGGGGTCAAGGCACCTGTACTCACAGGTGGTCCTGAGCACCTGGGTTCTGCCTTTGTGGCCGGGGCCAGAGGAACAAAAGACTTGCCCCTTGTGGGGGTGCTTGTGACAGGCGCCTTGGTCTGCAATAAAGCTCTGGTGATGTTTCTCACTTGTGCTCATCTCTGGGGTCTCAGGCCTCCTGATCTCCTGGCAGCTGGCCCATGGTTTACCACCAGTGCCAAAACTGGTTTGGAGAAGAGCTTCTGTTCCAGCAGAGGAAATGATTCTCAACTCAGGCCCTAAAACGAGTCATTTGGGGAGTGGGCGGCAGGGTAGAGAACATCACTATGACCGTCTTAGTCAGCAAGGTTGGGCCCAGAATTCAAGCCTAGAGTTCTTGGGAAGTACAGGACGGGTGTGGGGGGAGGGAAGCAGCAAGCATTAGGAGGGGCATGTGAGGAACCTGTATGGTGGAACCACAGTCAAGGGGTCAGTGCTGTGGGTTTCCCATGGGCCAGGCCTAAGGCAGATCAACACCATGAGACTGGCAGGAACTCCTAAATCAGAACCCACAGAATTAGGGGTTGCAGGAGCAATTATTTGGGGGTGCTCATGCATTTGGCTGGTGTTCTCCCGTTTCTTTCCTGGGACCTGCTCGCTAGATGGGGGAGGTAGAGCTGAGCCACACCTCTTGGAACTGTTCAGAGGACATTCTTTCCTGGCCATTAGGAATCACTTTCAGTTTGTATTTGGGAAGTTTTTTGGTTTTGTCTAGTTGCACACACGAAAATTCCTGCAGGTTGGAGATGGTCTTGGCTATAATTAAGTGATACATATGTAAAGATTCGAGAAAGACACGTTACGCAGTTGGCCGGTTAGCTCAGTTGGTTAGAGCGTGGTGCTAATAACGCCAAGGTCGCGGGTTCGATCCCCGTACGGGCCAAGGGGTGTTCCTCTTTTTCTCCTCCCCCGCCCCATACCCGCTGTTACCCGGAAGTTTCTACCAGAAGCCAGTTACCTCCTAATCGCACACTGGACCCACTATTTCTCAAAACCTAAATTGCTAGCGCACTCCAAGTCTTGGGAGGGAGCGCCCTGGGCTGGGGCGGAGGGAACGTTCCTCGGTGGCTGCTGCGTCTTCTCTTGCTTGGGAGCGCGTTGTTGGAGGCGGGTGGAAGAATGGGGAAGATCCGGGACGAGGATCCCAGATAAGGCGGAGCGGGCGTGGGACGGGGCCGCGACGGAAAGGTCGATTCCGACTCTGTCCTTATCTGGTGTTCGCGCTGGCGGATCTCCTACTCCTGGAACAGCAAAATCATAAAATGGATGGTGTTTTCGGAGCAGGAGATCTAAGAAAGGCTTAGGACGAGGAACACATGTACAGATATGTAGTCGTGGCCGAGTGGTTAAGGCGATGGACTAGAAATCCATTGGGGTCTCCCCGCGCAGGTTCGAATCCTGCCGACTACGTCTACGTTTTTCTCTCTTTTTTTTCCCCTTGAACGTGCGAACTACATTTCTCCTGTCCAAGGTCAGACAGATGATCGATCTGGTCCGCGACCCTGAAATCCCCCTGTCTCATGAATCTCAGATTCCAGAGAGTTCTCAACCATGCACTTCTGGCTAGAGTCGAGGTCTTTGATTTATTCCCTTCAACATCGAGGGGAATCTCATGGATGGATATCCGACGCCAAACTGGTTGATTTGTCAAAATTAATTTTAGAAAAATTTCGTAAAGGTGATGTGGCCAGGCTCGGAGTGGTATATTCCTGTAGAACAGGTCTGGAAGAACATTTAGTAAGTGTGGCGCCGTGGCTTAGTTGGTTAAAGCGCCTGTCTAGTAAACAGGAGATCCTGGGTTCGAATCCCAGCGGTGCCTTTATTGGACTCAAAGAAATAACTACGCATCTTCCATTTTGTTGCTGAATCTCTAACCTCGAATGGATCTATCTATTGATTTATATCATAGAACGCAGGGGTTCCAGGTCCGCGCTCGAAGCACCCTGATTTTTTGCTGAGCGGAGCTCCCTGTCCGGTAAGACCGCAGCTCTAAAAGTTTGCCCAGTGACGAGGTCGGGAATCCTGTGCAGGCCTACACCTTCGTTTGCCCAGCTTATGCCACACCCAGCTGGTGCTTGTGGGCTAGCCTCGGCGGCCGCTCCACTGCCCTGGCATCTTCCTCGACCCAGGACATCCCCTAGAACCCGAGTCGGTTTGTTTTGTTTGGTTCCTCATTATATTTCTTTTGGTTTGGGGCCTCAAAATTGTATATGTATATATAATATACTATATTTTAAATAGTTTTTATTAAAAGAATTTAAGGAAGGGGGTGTCTTCTGTGTGCAGTTCCTGTACCAAGCCCTTTACGTATAGTTATCCACATTTGTCTCCACAAGCTGGCAGTCAGGGTTAGGAGTTAGCAGGAGATATGGCTGGCCTGGCGCCATCTGGTTTCCTGCTAGAGAGGCAGTAGGCGCTGGGACCCTGTGGACAGAGTGGGAGCAGAAGAGAGCGCATTCTCCTGGGGTCTCCAGAGAGCCTGGTGTGGAAGGGCAGGGCACATTTCTGGAGCACTAAAGCCAGGCTGGTGAGAGTAGAAGTAAATGCTGTGGAGAAGGAGGCAAGAAGCAGGATAAGTGGGCCACTGGCAGGGCCTAAGTCTCCTTGGAAGATAGGCAGAAAGGTCTAGACACCATCCTTTGGCCAGGAAACTACTCTAAGATGTCCGAGCAAAAGTATTGGCTTGAAGGAATTGCTATCTCGAGGTGACAGGTCAAGTAAGTCATGCAGCACCACCGGGACCAGGTTTGTGCCAAGCACTGGGCTGCACTCTGTGTATAACCAAATGAATAAGGTATAGCACATTTTCTCAAAGAGCTCATAGGAAGGAAGACAAAATCACATCACAATGCCGGTGCTGTGAGAACGTGGAGAAGAGAAGTGGCATCTCAACTGGCCTGAGAGTGGTCAGGGGAGGCTTTCTGGAGGAGGTGAGCTAAAGACCACGTGGAAATTTGCCATATGTTCTGTTAAACAACTACTATGTAACAACCATTGTTCTAGGCCCTGGGAATAAAGCAGGGAACAATAAACACAACAAAAATGTTTTAAAAATTAAATTATAGGGCCGGCCTCGTGGCTTAGCGGTTAAGTGCGCGTGCTCCGCTGCTGGCGGCCCCGGTTCGGATCCTGGGCACGCACCGCTTCTGCAGCCATGCTGAGGCCACGTCCCACATACAGCAACTAGAAGGATGTGCAGCTATGACATATAACTATCTACTGGGGCTTTGGGGGGAATAAATAAAATCTTTAACAAAAAAAAAAAAAACCTATTAAAGGCTCTGAAAAGTCCTGCAAAAAGAAACCTGTTGACCTCCTCATAGAAGTAACCACTTTCTTGAATATGGGGTGTATTATTCCTATGAATATCTTTATATTTTTACTACACATGCATCTGTCCATAAGCAATGTAGAGTTTTGCACTCCTTTAGACTCTATATAAATGATACCATACCTCATAGATTCTCTGCAATTTGCTTTTTGTGCTTAACATTATGCTTCTGAGATTTGTTCTTATTGATAGCTCTAGCTCATTTATTTTAACTGCTCTATGGTATTCTATTATGTGAGTATGCATATCACTGTTTATTTATCCTTTGAAGAATAAAAAAGGTAGAAATCTGTTCAGCTTGTATAATTTGACATTTCCCAAACTTATATGAGCACAGGATGCTTTTTCCCTGGCACTGCCTTCCTTATTCTGCTTATGGCAGTTTGGGAAACAGCTCACTCAGCCTGGCAATCTGTTTCAGTCAGTTAAGGCAAGGGATCTTTAGTGAGAAGACAGCTTAATTGTACTCTGTGTCATCCAAAACATCATTTTCAAAATTCTGTGTGATTTTTTTCATCCATGGACTTTGTTATAAACCAGGGATAACTAAAAATGCTGGTCCGCCAGAATGTAAATCAACACACTGCTTCCTCCGTTGAGAAAGTCTTGCCTACGAAAGACAGTCAGCTGAACTAAACAGTGTGCCTACTGACATTGTGTGTAGCCAGGTACTTACTGGTCAACTTTTAAAAACCTTAATATTTTGCCATATTTGCTTCAGTTCTTTTTTATGAAAGGTAAAACATTACAGATTTAGTGAAGTCTCCTAAGTGCTCTATTCTGACCCAGTTCTCCCTTCCCCTTCTCCAGAAGTAACCACTGTCCTGAAGGGAAGTGCGGGCTCATCCAGTGTCAGCCTCACTGGCCGTTTCACATTGCTCTCCAATGGAGTTGCACCAATTGACGCACATACAGCACACATCTACATCCAGAAGCTTTTCCATATCTGGTTTTACCTTCGTAAAAAAAAATTTTTTTTTGCCTATTTGATAGGCATTAAATTATATTTTATTTTAATTCCAAAGTAATTTCTGAGGACACTCTTACCTGGGGGCTTTTTTCTTTTCCTCCTATGTAACTATTCTTATTTTACTCCATTAGACTCTGTTTTTCCTTTTCCTACAATTCTTGTCCATGTCCATAACTCTAGAGATTAAATACATTATTTATTTAAACATAGAATGACATCTCATTTGAAATTTGTCTTGCTGGCATGGGAAAGGCCCTGGGACAGGAGAGCTACCTATGGAATAGTTGTAGTCAAAGGAGTAGTGATTCTCATGAACCTCTATTGCAGTGGGGTTAGTCTCCCACAGGTGAGTTGAGTATGTGCCTAGTGGCCTCAGTGATCACAATCTTATTAAGGAAAGGAAGATCCAAATTTTCAAAATTCTGGCATTACTAGAATAATTGAAAAGTGGTAAGTCAGCAATTTTTAGGAAACTTGGAACCTTTTTAAAGTTTCTTGTTATTCTTCAAGATAAATGTAAAATAAATAGCACAATTTGTAGAAGTGAGGTGTCCATAAAGAACAGTGGATGAGGATAAAATAGAGATTATTTGATATAAATATTTTATTCATTCATTTTTCCATTCCCCTTCATTGAGTGCCTACCATGTGCCAGGCACTGTGGTGTGTAAGCCTTGAAAGTTGGAGAGCAATGACAGATACAAAAGATTAGAGCTTATCACCTTCGGTTTCCTGACCCACACCCTGAAGAATCTGGGCAAGGTGACCCGTACCGTTTTCTGTCCTTAACATGCCTAGGGTCAAGGGACAGTTCTCCAGTTGCTTTTCCCTGGGCCTTTAGAGAAGTAGGTAAACACAGAGAAAGAACATGGACTTTCAAGTGAGACACACCTGGCTTTGCCACCCATGCCACTGTGTACCTGAACCTCTCCAAGTTTCCCCATTGCTGGTGTTTATGGGGTTTTTTGGTGAAGATTCAATGCCATATAGAGTGTGAACGGACCCAGTATAGTATGTGCATTAGCAGGGGCTCAACACATGTTAGTTTCTGTCTTTGCGTTTTATCTGCTCCAAAGTTGTTGGGAAAGGATGAAGCAGATGTGGAAGGGGAGTGGCCACCTAGAACAGCGTTCCCAATCTTTAGTACTCACGTGTGGATTATGTTCATGAGTACAACAAGGAGGATAAATTGTGGTGTTTTGTAACCTTATTCTGTTTCTTTTCCACTGAAAAAATCATGGGAATGCAAATCAGCAGAAGAGTGGTATTACAAAAATGTGAATCTACCACAACTTTAATAATTTATTATTTGTATTGCATTATCTGTGATATACCTCACAATTGATAGTGACTCAGCAGTGTTGCAACACTTTGCTTAAGAATGACTGATCTCAAGCATCTCTTGAGATTTGGGAACTCTTGATACCAACTCCGCTCTCAGCCTCAGCTTCCCAGCCAGTCTCTAGTACTGTGATATTCTAGACTAGGAAGGAAACGTGGCTGGGGCCAGTGAGGTTGAGCCTTTAGGCAGATGCCTCAGTGGCCCCATTGGAGTTCTTGGTGGAGCTAAGAGCTGAGATGCTGTCAGGCAAGCTGGGTGTTATCTGTCAGATGTTCTTCCCACACACTCATCTCCTCAGGCCACTCTTGCGTTCCTACTTCATTTCTCTGGGTCCTCTCTGTGGCACTATCTTGTTCAAGATATCATTCAGCACAGACTTCTTGCCTTCCCTAGGTACACCCAGACTCTGTCCTCATTTTCTTAGGCCCTTACCCCCAACTTTTTCCCTTTCAATCAGTCAATCAGACAAACTCCTCTCTTAGTCCATGTTCCCCATCAGACTTTCCTTGGGATCTTGGGGGATTTGTCAGGATTGAGGGTAATGTCCTAGGCTTGGATGCAGCTTTGCAGGACCTCTGCTTCTTTCATTCTGCAGCTTTGTCTCAGTACAGGACCTCAGGACCCGCCAGCGTCTCCCATGCTGCAGCCACCTGTCCTGGAGCAGCACTGCATACCAGGCTTGGGCCCAAGAGGCTGGACCAAGTGGGGTCCCCCTGCCCCGGGAGCGGCTGATACTTTTAGGGACACTAACAGATGTATCGGGAGACTTGGAACAAGAGTGCAGGAATGGAAGCCTCTATGTGAGAGATAACACTGGTGTTCTGGGGTGTGAGGTGAGTAGGGAGGGGGAGGTCAGATGCCTCAGATCCTAACAAGAATGGCGTCTAGGGACGCAGTTAAGGCAATTAAGTCTCTGAGCGAACAAAGGTGGAGGGGGGTGGATTGGATGCTAGGGTCCTGGTTAACCCTTGTCCTTGGTCTTTTCTAGCTCATAGATCTGGACCTTTCTTGGTTGGGCCATCTCTTTCTGTTCCCCAGTTGGAGTTACCTCCCTCCTACCAGGTGGAGTTGCTCAGGGGAAGGGCATTTGGAACTCTGGGGTGCCCCGGTGCCAGTGTTTCCCTTGACCATCAGTCCTGGCCCTCTCACCCCTATGCCTGTTCTCTACCCAGAAACTGCTTCCCGCCTGCTCAGGCACAGGTAATTCTTCTCTCTAGGGGAGGAGGGAGCACTGTGAAACTGGGAAGATGCTGGTGGGTCAATGGAAGGAGGGAAAGAAAGGTATTGAGAGAAATATGGATGGAATGTTCCAATCAAGGGAACGATAGGGCCTCTCAGAATGGTAAGAGCAGGAGTCTTCAAGGGAAGTGTGCCTTATCTAAGGGCAAGAAGAGTTCGAAGGAGGTTTTTAGAATAATGGCTTTGGGCTATGGACATTTTACGTCACTAGATTATTTTTTATAGTGGGAGGGAAGGCATTTGTAGGGAAAAAGAAGAGAAATAAAAATGACTTCTGAGTATCTGTCTACTGGGATATATCTGGGATGCTGCCGAATTCATGAATTGCTTAATAAAGCCAATCAGATCTTCAAATTAAAAAAGAAGAAGACTTCTCCCCTCCCCTTTTTACCTTCTTTAGAAGCAAGCTCAGAGTTGGGCAAACAAACCTGGCTGGGAAACTGGTTCGGTTGAGTGCTCTGGTGAAAAGTCAAAAGAAAGCTTACTTCATCCTGTCTCTTGGAAGATCATCCCCAGCTGGCAGCCAAGCTGGCAGTCATGTGTCCATCATCGTGCAGGTGAGGATTAGGGTCAATTCAGGGATGTGCAGTGTGGAATGGGTGTTAGAACTCTTAATAGGAAAGATAACATCATAGGAGGAACCATGTGGGAAAGGACAGCTGGGGAGAGTTGTTTTCTGGAACAGTGAACTTGAGGGAAGCTTCCAGGTAACGTCTTTCCTATTTACCGGAGGTAGGGAATAGACTTTCCTGCTGTGCATCTCACTAGAGTAGACAACTTTTGTGTGTTACATTTTGAAAAACTACCAGAATCACTTGTTTTTCTCTTGTATTAAAAGGATGACCAAGGGCCGGCCCCGTGGCTTAGCGGTTAAGTGTGCACGCTCCACTACTGGCGGCCCAGGTTTGGATCCCAGGCGCACTGACGCACCGCTTCTCTGGCCATGCTGAGGCCGCGTCCCAGATACAGCAACTAGAAGGGTGTGCAACTATGACATACAACTATCTACTGGGTCTGTGGGGAAAAAAAGGAGGAGGATTGGCAATAGATGTTAGCTCAGAGCCGGTCTTCCTAGCAAAAAGAGGAGGATTAGCACGGACGTTAGCTCAGGGCTGATCTTCCTCACAAAAAAAAAGAAAAAACACAATAGGATGACCAAGACAATTATTTATCTTAACACTATTAAAACATTGAATACATGTACTTTTTTACAATTTTGTGTGTGTGTGTGAGGAAGGTTGGCCCTGAGCTAACATCTGCCAACCCTCCTCTTTTTGCTGAGGAAGACTGGCCCTGGGCTAACATCCATGCCCATCTTCCTCCACTTTATATGGGA